TAGTTTTAAACATCACAACCCATATGTCTGTCAGTGTTTCATTTGAAAACAATGAAACAGAGCCTTTGTTGAATTTAATCTCTATGTTGTTATCAGAACTTATAGCATACCCATGAGAAATGTCTTTAGTGCTCCTCTTTACTTATTAGTGAACTTTGGTCATATTGAGCCATCTCCAGCGTTTTGGTTTCCATAATTATATATACAAAACAGTTGACCTGGTTGTTTTGTCCAGTTCTTTGTCTCTATACTATTGACTGTTGCTTTGTTTATTTTACTCCTTTGTCTTTGTAATGGCTGCCAATGTGTTGTCCTTTGTCCTCTTTGTGTAACACTAATATCACTAACAGTGATAGTTACCACTCTCTTCCTTGTCTTGTTATTAAGTATATGGTCTGGATTTGCAATAAGGACTTGTCATTCAATCTTGTCAGTTAGTTAAATGCTCCACATTAATCAGGTTGAGTAGTGTAGTAGTGATCCTTGTAGTGTGAACTACTAGTAGCTGTTTCAGTTGTTCTTTCAGTTGACTTCAATCAGTGATCATTATTACTGCCTTTGACAACAGTTGACAGAAGATATAAACTCACCAAATGATTGACTAAACATTCATAATGTCTCTCGTATAGTTGTTGTTGTATGGAACACTCTGTATCTGCATATAACTTGATGGAAATCAGGAGTGATTAAACACATACTGTTAAAACAATGGCGGCCATTTTATCAGTGCAAAACAATTCTTCGTCTGTCATATGCTCTTCGATTTCGTTTATGTCTTCTGAATTGAAGGATATAGCAGTTTCAGCATCGTAGTCAAACTTGTGTGTGATAGTCCATAGTATGCTAATGCATGGTAATCCTCACTGCGCTATAAGAAAACTGTCCTCCTTGGTCCGTTCGGCAAATAAACTCCCTGATCTATGTACAAACAGCGGCGACCATCCTGGTATCTTTGATCTAAGATTGGCTGTGACTCCTTCTCTTTTTACCTCCATGTTCCCACCAACATTTGGGTGACATAATTCTTTTACTAATTTTAAAGCGCAACAGTCAATGCACTGAATAAAAGGCATTTCTTGTTTACAAATAATTTACTGACTGTGGTGATTCAAACATGATTCAAAAGAAGCAGACTTTGCTTCTACAATTTAATCAACAATTTGTTTTCAAAAATCAATGCAGCACGGCAGTTTATGATATTAATGATTATTAATTCAATTCTGACATTAAAATTATGATTTTTTCATTAATTTTTTTCGAAAAACATTAATATTTGATGGGTGGGGCAAACCTTGTTGTAAAGTATACAGCAATTAAAACTGCCTCATAAATTGTTTCAATAACTTACCGTACATGTATTGTTTTATTTCCTCAATGCTATTATTTTTAAGATTTTTACAGAATTTTCTAAAATAATAATACTTAACTGACATAAATATTGTGGAGAATTTTCACTCAACGAAAACATAAACGATTTACTACTGTAAAATACTTTATTTTCGCTTGGAATTAATTTTCGCTATTTTCCCTGCAAGAATGATTCAGTGAAAATAAAAACAAGCGAATATACCTTTTTTCCTATATTTTGCATTCAACTGGTCAGTGAAAATAAATTCCATATAAAACACCCAAAAATTATTTTCTACGAAAATGAATTCTAACTAAAATAAAGTATTTCTCAGTACTGTAAAATCTGTATTAGAAGCTACGACTTCTATTAAAATGGTACAATGCAACAGATGCAGCTTCTATTAGAGCATCTAGACATAAGTGAAATAATGAATTTTTTGGTTCTCAATTGTTTAAAAAGAGTAGGTGCGACTTCTATCAGGGATGCGGCTTCTAATACAGATTTACCAGTAAAATGTAGTATAAGGCAGGTACTATGTGCATACATTGTATCCACAACACACAGGGAATAACACCTTAAGGACAATACAATCATTGTGACAAAGGTATACAATAAAACCACTAAGATTGTGAAAACAAATACAACATGCCAGCAATACAACAAAATGATGGATCAGTTTTCAGGAAAAAGGTCATACATGTATAGGGTTATCCCTTTTAATTTCCTGCTATTACAACATTAGAAGTTGTATTTCCACCATAATGGTATTAAATTGGCCGTTACTTTATTTTCACAAACTTTTTACAGTTAATTAACTTTTTTAATCTCAAACTTCAAGAATGTGTCCAGGGATCTTGCCTCAATTTATGCC